AACAGTGCACTTGCACTTGAGATGCATTTTAAGGCTATGGGATCCGAAAGTGAAGTTATCATTTCCAAACGTTTAGGTAAATTGTATGCTGATTTGCGATCTATTAACAGCAAGGGTTAAATTAAATAGGCACAATATTTTTTACCGATGCATTTGGCAATATTCAATTCATACGCACAAAACATATGAACAAAAGCATTCACTGAAAGTTGATACATGTAGGCCCTTCATACAGTGCATTCTGAAAGTTTTCAGACCCCTTGACTTTTTCCACATTTTGTTACATTACAGCCTTATTCTAAAAACGAATCCTCATCACTCTACACACAATAACCCATAATGACAAAGTGAAAACAGGTTTTTAGAAATTTGTGAAGATTTATTAAAAATAAAAAAATAAAAAACTGAAATACCTTATTTACATAAGTATTCAGACCCTTTGCTATGACTCGAAATTGAGCTCAGGTGCATCCTGTTTACATTGATCATCCTTGATGTTTCTACAACTTGATTGGAGTCCACCTGTGGTAAATTCAATTGATTGGACATGATTTGGAAAGGCACACACCTGTCTATATAAGGTCCCACAGTTGACAGTGCATGTCAGAGAAAAGACAAAGCCATGACGTCAAAATGAATTGTCTGTAGAGCTCCGAGACAGGATTGTGTCAAGGCACAGATCTGGGGAAGGGTACCAAAACATTTCTGCAGCATTGAAGGTCCCCAAGAACACAGTGGCCTCCATCATTCTTAAATGGAAGAAGTACCCAATGGTCACTCTGACAGAGCTCCAGAGTTCCTCTGTAGAGTTGGGAGAACCTTTCAGTAGGACAACCATCTCTGCAGCACTCCACCAATCAGGCCTTTATGGTAGAGTGGCCAGACGGAAGCCACTCCTCAGTAAAAGGCACATGACAGCCCGCTTGGAGTTTGCCAAAAGGCACCTAAAGGACTCTCAGACCATGAGAAACAAGATTGAACTCTGGCCTGAATGCCAAGTGTCACGTCTGGAAGAAACCTGGCACCATCCCTACGGTGAAGCATGGTGGTGGCAGCATCATACTGTGGGTTTGTTTTTCAGCTGCAGGGACTGGGAGACTAGTCAGGATCGAGAGAAAGATGAACGGAGCAAGGTACAGAGAGATCCTTGATGAAAACCTGCTCCAGAGAGCTCAGGATCTCAGACTGGGGCGAAGGTTCACCTTCCAACAGGACAATGACCCTAAGCACACAGGCAAGACAAGGCAGGAGTTGCTTCGGGACAAGTCTCTGAATGTCCTTGAGTGGCCCAGCCAGAGCCTGGACTTGAAACACAGGGATGTCAATTCGCACGGGACTAGTATTATCAGTTCACCAAAAAAAAGTAGCTTATTCTGGCTGGAATTACTCTCCTGCCATGTACAATATACTGACATGGCAGATTCGGACCGGACTAAAATTACAGATATGGTGTTTTGTGCTTGTGCACATAATTACATTACCCGACCACCCCCTGAAAAACGAGTCCCGTCCGAATAGGGCTGCCTTAGCAGCAGCTACTGTTCCTGGGGTCCAGGAAAATTTAAGGCAGTTTATACAATTTTTTAAACATTACAATACATTCACAGATTTCACAACACACTGTGTGCCCTTAGGCCCCTACTCCACAACTACCGCATACAGTGAGGGGAAAAAAGTAAATCATTTCTTACATGCGTTTTTCTGGATTTATTTGTTGTTATTCTGTCTCTCACTGTTCAAATAAACCTACCATTAAAATTATAGACTGATCATTTCTTTGTCAGTGGGCAAACATACAAAATCAGCAGGGGATCAAATAATTGTTTTGAACTGCATATTATTCATATTAGCTCTCTGTGTACATCCAAGGGCTAGCCGTGCTTCCCTGTTCTGAGCCAATTACAATTTTCCTAAGTCCCTAACATGCTGGTTAATTTTGCTATTATGCACATAGCATAATAAGGTGCCAATTCTACGGCACACTGATGATTGTTTCAGAACCACAGACAGCGACCATATCCAAAGCGGGAGAAAGCGCATTTCTTATAAAATAATATTTGATTTATTAGTGATGCACCATAATTTTTTACATCCTATAACCATATACAATTTCAGTATCACATGTCGTAGAGTGATGGACTGTGCCAACCCCGTGGCCTCCGCATTGGATTAGTCCACTGAGACAGGTGTGAATCAGACAGGTATGTTGTGCGCCATGAATAAAAACAAAACATTGCGACTGCTTGACTAAAGAAATCTCGGTCGACCAACAGCCTATCGACCAAAAAATCGACCAGTCGACTAAATGGGGTCAGCCCTACTTCAGTTAATCTTACATTATGCTTTATCCGACTTTATCTTTCTCTCCTCATATTCACACGTGCAGACTATTTTATCTCTCTCTCTCTCTCTCTCTCTCTCTCGCTTTCTCTCAGCTTTTGACGGGGAACACTGTTATGAGCCCTACTTGCCCCATGGGAATTTCAGCAGCAGTGACATCACCTTTCCGTTGGGCACCACAGTCACCTTCTCCTGCTCCACAGGCTTTGTCATGGAGCAGGGCTCCGGGGTCATTGAGTGTGTGGACCCAAGCGATCCACACTGGAATGAGAGCGAGCCTGTGTGTAAAGGTAATACTATTGAAAACTACCATTACATTATGATAATTTGTTTGTAATAATAATAATAATAATAATATGCCATTTAGCAGACACTTTTATCCAAAGCGACTTACAGTCATGCGTGCATACATTTTTACATTTGGGTGGTCCCGGGGATCGAACCCACTACCCTGGCGTTACAAGCGCCATGCTCTACCAATTGAGCTACAGAGGACTTTCATTCACTAAACTAAAAACTAAAGACAATAATACAAGTAATGTTACAATTACTTTTTGTCCCTGTGCCACTCCCTCTCTTCCCTCCCTCTATCTTGCTTTCTATCTTCCGCCCCTAACTCCCACTCTCTCTCCCCCACCCCCCTCTCAGCTTTGTGTGGGGGAGAGTTGACTGATCCCTCCAGCACTGTTCTGTCCCCTGATTGGCCACAGAGCTACTCCAAGGGGCAGGACTGTGTGTGGCAGATCCATGGCAATGAGGAGAAGCGCATCGAACTGGACATCCAGATGTGAGTTTGGCCTCACCAACACTGAACAGGCATCATTTTGGTTTTTGAAGCTGTGGTTGGAGCATTTGGGAGAGGGAATTGTTCTCCTTCTTCTTTTGCCTCTGAAACCTCACTGCATAACGTGAGCGCTCCCTTTGCATAGTTTTTTTTACCACTACACCAGAGGTAAACTACCGGTCAAAAGTTTTAGAACACCTACTCATTCAAGGGTTTTTCTTTATTTTTTCTATTTTCTACATTGTAGAATAATAGTTAAGACATCAAAACTATGAAATAACACATATGGAAAAAGTGTTAAACAAATCAAAATATATTTTATATTTGAGATTCTTCAAATAGCCACCCTTTGCTTTGTTGACAGCTTTTTCACACTCTTGGCATTCTCTCAACCAGCTTCATGAGGTAGTCACCTGGAATGTATTTCAATTAACGGGTGTGACTTGTTAAAAGTAAATTTGTGGAATTTCTTTCCTTCTTTATGCGTTTGAGCCAATCAGTTGTGTTGTGACAAGGTTGGGGGGGTATACAGAAGATAGCTCTATTTGGTAAAAGACCAAGTCCATATTATGGCAAGAACAGCTCAAATAAGCAAAGAGAAACGACAGTCCATCAATACTTTAAGACATGCAGGTGTGTTGGGTCATTGTCCTGTTGAAAAACATATGATAGTCCCACTAAGCCCAAACCAGATGGGATGGCGAATCGCTGCAGAATGCTGTGGTAGCCATGCTGGATAAGTGTGCCTTGAATTCTAAATAAATCACTGACAGTGTCACCAGCAAAGCACCCCCACACCATAACACCTCCTCCTCCATGCTTTACGGTGGGAAATACACATGTGGAGATCATCCGTTCACCCACACCGCGTCTCATAAAGACACAGCGGTTGGAACCAAAAATCTCAAATTTGGACTCCAGACCAAAGGACACATTTCCACCGGTCTAATGTCCATTACTCGTGTTTCTTGGCCCAAGCAAGTCTCTTCTTATTATTGGTGTCATTTAGTAGTGGTTTATTAGTAGCAATTCGACCATGAAGGCCTGATTCACGCAGTCTCCTCTGAACAGTTGATGTTGAGATGTGTCTGTTACTTGAAGTCTCTGAAGCATTTATTTGGGCTGCAATTTCTGAGGCTGGTAACTTATCCTCTGCAGCAGAGGTAACTCTGGGTCTTCCATTCCTTTGGCGGTCCTCATGAGAGCCAGTTTCATCATAGAGCTTGATGGTTTTTGCTACAGTACTTAAAGAAACTTTCAAAGTTCTTGAAATGTTCCGTATTGACTGACCTTGTCTTAAAGTAATGATGGACTGTCGTTTCTCTTTGCTTATTTGAGCTGTTCTTGCCATAATATAGACTTGGCCTTTTAACAAATAGAGCTATCTTCTGTATACCCCCCCCAACCTTGTTACAACACAACTGATTGGCTCAAACGCATTAAGAAGGAAAGAAATTCCACAAATTAACTTTTAACAAGTCACACCCGTTAATTGAAATGCATTCCAGGTGACTACCTCGTGAAGCTGGTTGAGAGAATGCCAAGATTGTGCAAAGCTGTCATCAAAGCAAAGGGTGGCTATTTGAAGAATCTCAAATTATTCTACAATGTAGAAAATAGTAAAAATAAAGAAAAACCCTTGAATGAGTAGGGGTGCTAAAACTTTTGACCGGTAGTGTATATGATGGAGGTAGAACTCAAAATAAGCATGTTTATGTTTCAGAAACGTGCATGTTTTGTAAGGAATATATTTAAAGCATAAAACGAAGGTTGAACAATGTGAGCCTTGCGTTTCGCCGTCTCACTGAATGCTGCTTCCGTGGCGTCTCATTGATTATAATGGGTGACTGATGGACATAAAAAAAAAAATGATGTGATGCTTCCAGTGAAGTTTTTATCGTAAGGATTAGAAATGACAATGATTGTGAGAAGATACATTTTATGATGACATTTTATGATTCCATTTGAAGTGACATTGTTATTAAAGTATAAGTTGTTTTCCTCTCTTCATGTATTTTGTCTCTCTCAAAGTTTGAATATCCGTCACAACGACATTCTCACCATATTCGATGGTCACGACCTCATGTCCCATGTGATCGGCCAGTACCTGGGGTCACGAGAACGTTTCCAGGTCGTGTCAGGTGGTTCTGAGGTCACTATTCAGTTCCAGAGTGACCCTGACGACTCCTCCTTTATTCTCAGCCAGGGATTCCTTATTCACTACCGTGGTACGTACACATACAGGACTTTTACATACAGGACATTAACATACACATAAAGGACATAATATAAAGAACATTGATTGCCCAAACATGACATCACACAAAAATATGTACATTTTCCTGGCGTGTATTCAGTGAAGCAAAATGTTAATAACCGTACCAGTCAGAGGTTTGGACACACCGACTCATTCAAGGGTTTTCTACATTGTAGAATAATAGTGAAGACATCAACACTATGAAATAACTTATATGGAATCATGTAGTAACCAGAAAAGTGTTAAACAAATCAAAATACAGTATATTTTAGACTTTAGATTCTTCAAAGTAGCCACCCTTTGCCGTGATGACAGCTTTGTACACTCTTGGCATTCTCTCAACCAGCTTCACCTGCAATGCTTTCCCAACAGTCTTGAAGGAGTTCCCACATATGCTGAGCACTTGTTGGCTGCTTTTCCTTCACTCTGAGGTCCAACTCAGGTCATCAGGGGATTGTGGTGGCCAGGTCATCTGATGCAGCACTCCATCACTCTCCTTCTTGGTAAAATAGCCTGGACACAGCCTGGAGGTGTGTTGGGTCATTGTCCTGTTGAAAAACAAATGATAGTCCCACTAAGCGCAAACCAGATGGGATGGCATATCGCTGCAGAATGCTGTGGTAGCCATGCTGGTTAAGTGTGCCTTGAATTCTAAATAAATCACAGACAGTGTCACTATCAAAGCACCCCCACACCATCACACCTCCTCCTCCATGCTTCACGGTGGGAACCACATGAAGAGATCATCCGTTCACCTACTCTGCGTCTCACAAAGACACGGCGGTTGAAACCAAAAATCTCCATTGCTCGTGTTTCTTCTTCTTATTGGTGTCCTTTAGTAGTGGTTTCTTTGCAGAAATTCGATCATGAAGGCCTGATTCACGCAGTCTCCTCTGATCAGTTGATGTTGAGATGTGTCTGTTACATGAACTCTGTGAATGTCACGAATTCAGATGAGGCTGCCCCTCCTCCTTGCTCGAGCAGGTTTCGGCGTTCGTCGTCACCGGCTTACTAGCCACTACCGCTCCATTTATCATCACTCCATTTGTCTTGTCTTGTCTTGTCAATCACTCACACCTGGTACTCATTCCCTCATTAGTCTGTGTATAAGTGTTCCCTCTGCCCCCTTGTCCTTGGTGAGTGATTATGTGATTAGGTGTGAATGACAGTCAGGCGCAGGAGGTAAAAACACAGAAATCCAGAGTTTCTCACCTATGGAGTCAGCGGGAGAAGAGCGCACATCTGGAATCGTGGCAAGGGTCCAGGAGCATTCCACGATGCTGGCCAGCTTGGGGGAAGCGATGGATCGGGTTCTTCAGGTCGTCCAACGCCTGGAGAGAAGAGGAACCGATCTGTCGAGACCAGCTGGCCAACCGGATCCAACCACCTACATCACAGCACCCGGAGGGATCCAGATATCCCGACCTCGGGCGTTCGATGGGATGCCGGCTCTGTGTCAGGGATTCCTTCTCCAACTGGAGCTGTACTGCTTCAGTGTCAGGCCGGCGCCATCAGATCGAGAGCAGGTGTCCGTCCTCATTTCCTGCCTCTCGGGGAAAGCCCTGGAGTGGGCCAACGCGGTTTGGAGAGAAGGAGGAGCCGCGTTGGAGGACTACAGGGAGTTCGCCCACCTATTTCGGTGGGTTTTCGATGGGCGGGTGAGCAGCTGGTCCACTTGAGGCAGGGGACGAGGACAGTACAGGAGTTCGCGCTGGAGTTCCGGATCCTGGCAGCAGGGTCCGGGTGGAATGAGTGGGCCCTGATCAACCAGTTCCGTTGCCATCTACGGGAGGACGTCCTACGGGAGCTAGCCTGCCGTGACAGCAGTTTGTCTTTTACCGAACTGGTGGACATGGCCATTCGTCTGGACAACCTGCTGGCAACCAGAGGACGTCCTGGAGGAGGATTTGTTTAACTCTTTTTTTGGTTACTACATGATTCCATATGTGTTATTTCATAGTTTTGATGTCTTCACTGTTATTCTACAATGTAGAAAATAGCAAAAATAAAGAAAAATCCTTGAATAAGTAGGTATGTCCTAACTTTTGACTGGTACTGTAATATGAACAGACAATACGGTTACATATTCTACCTCAATTGTGTGTTCTACACGATACATTTCAATCTGAATGTTCTGTAACATTATATCCTCCTGAACAAGCACCTGGTTTATCCTACATCTAATGACATCATCTTATTTCTCATGCAGAGGTAGAGCCTAATGACACCTGCCCTGCCCTCCCTCAAATCGAATTTGGCTGGATTAGCTCCTCCCACAGCTCTCCCGTGAGGGGAAGTGTGTTGACCTATCAGTGCCAGCCGGGGTATGACATTAGTGGCTCTGACATCATCACTTGCCAATGGGATCTTTCCTGGAGTAACAGCCCACCCACCTGCATCAAAGGTGAGCTAAAGTGCATTCCTGCCCGACTACATTGCTGACACATGCCAGATCATATGTTATAGCAATCTGGTGCCCGACGGCATTGGTTGATGCAATGCAACACCTGAGCAGGAGAACACAACCCTATACTTCCAACAACACTTCGGATGCGTTTGAGAGCATCAATTTTGCTCCGTTGCAGATCACCGACTGAACATACTAGCTGATACCCGCATAGCTGATGTTTTGGTGGTGTCAGAGGTGGAACTGCATTGGCGCTGTCAAATCGGTGAGCAGCTGCTCTTGATCATTGTCACGAAGCCACACCTGTCCCACTCGCGTTAGAAGTTCAGAACGAGAAAGTGTAGGCTATATAGAAATTACGCTCAAATTAAAATTAATTAACCTAAATAATGATGCACTGAAAATTGCCACTGAATAAAACCAACTTATCATCTGACCACATCCTGTCATTTCTTTATTCTGTATCAGCAAAAAATGGGTTTATCACTTATACGGTGTGCAGGCTTTTAGCATAGCCCCTTTTACACCCCTGTTGGCTTACCCCTACTAGCTAACCACTAGCAGCCTTGAAACACATCACTTACTAGCAGCTCAGCACATCAGCATTTCTCATGCTGTTACACAAAATCAAGATAACATTTTACCATCATAGTAGACATTGAACGTCTATAACCAAACTGGCTAAAACGCTGTTGTTGGCCGATAGTACAGTGGGTCTTCCTTTAAAAGTTATGTCATACTGCAGTACAGCTTGCGCCGTGCTGCGTAATTGTATGGCACGTTAGAGTGAATGACGTCATATTATTTTACTGTCAGCCATTGTTGCCATTAATGCTAGTTTGACCACCACAGGGCATCTTTGAGAAGCGAAGTTATTGAAATGACATGGAGCTGTAGGCCTAAGAGTCCTGTTACTGTAGCTGTTTTAGCGAAACGTACTTATTGGCATAAAGGCCTACTTCAATATACAGTATATCAATAAATTATTCATTCATTTGTGCATGTCATCACACAGCATACAAGTCATCCATGTCTTAAAATACAGTCAAGCATTTTAGTTATAAAACGAAATAACAAATGGAGCCTTGAATAATTAAACAATGAATAAACCACAACATGTCGGCTAAAGCGATTTAATTCACGAATGCATTTGACTGTTTTTAATATTGGCTGTACTAGAGATTTTAAAACCTTTTTTTTAGTAGAAACTTAGCTATGGCGCTGTACAACATGACCGGTCGGGAGTAGGCCTAGGCTACTAAGTGACTGCGAGTGAAGAGCAAAATAATCCTAACATTTCCACAGCCTAATTGTTGGCTAACCAATACCCAAACGGAGTATGTGAAAATAAAAATCTGATTGATTTATCAAGACCAGTCCCCATACTTGTCTCAAAGCAGCACAAAACAGTGCTCAAATACAGTGCCTTGCAAAAGTATTCATCCCCCTTGGCGTTTTTCCTATTTTGTTGCATTACAACCTGTAATTTAAATGGATTTGAATTTGTATTTCATGTAATGGACATACCCAAAATAGTCCAAATTGGTGAAGTGAAATGAAAACAATAACTTGTTTCAAAAATTCTAAAAAAGTAATAATGGAGAAGTGGTGCGTGCATATGTATTCACCCCCTTTGCTATGAAGCCCCTAAATAAGATCTGGTGCAACCAATTACCTTCAGAAGTCACACAATTAGTTAAATAAAGTCCACCTGTGTGCAATCTAAGTGTCACATGATCTGTCACATGATCTCAGTATATATACACCTGTTCTGAAAGTCCCCAGAGTCTGCAACACCACTAGGCAAGTGGCACCACCAAGCAAGCGGCACCTTGAAGACCAAGGAGCTATCCAAACAGGTCAGGGACAAAGTTGTGGAGAAGTATAGATCAGGGTTGGGTAATACAAAAATATCTGAAACTTTGAACATCCCACGGAGCACCATTAAATCCATTATTAAAAAATGGAAAGAATATGGCACCACAACAAACCTGTCAAGAGAGGGCCACCCACCAAAACTCACAGACCAGGCAAGGAGGGCATTAATCAGAGATGCAACAAAGAGACCAAAGATAACCCTGAAGGAGCTGCTAAGATTGGAGTATCTGTCCATAGGACCCCTTTAAGCCATACACTTCACAGAGCTGGGCTTTACGGAAGAGTGGCCAGAAAAAGCCATTGCTTTTGGTGTTCGCCAAAAGGCATGTGGGAGATTCCCCAAACATATGGAAGAAGGTACTCTGGTCAGATGAGACTAAAATTGAGCTTTTTGGCCATCAAGGAAAACACTATGTCTGGCGCAAACCCAACACCTCTCATCACCCCGAGAACACCATCCCCACAGTGAAGCATGGTGGTGGCAGCATCATGCTGTGGGGATGTTTTTCATCGGCAGGGACTGGTAAACTGGTCAGAATTGAAGGAATGAAGGATGGTGCTAAATACATGGAAATTCTTGAGGGAAACCTGTTTCAGTCTTCCAGAGATTTGAGACTGGGACGGAGGTTCACCTTCCAGCAGGACAATGACCCTAAGCATACTGCTAAAGCAACATTGAGTGGTTTAAGGGGAAACATTTGAGAATCTGTGTTATGACTTAAAGATTGTTGTACACCAGCGGAACCCATCCAACTTGAAGGAGCTGGAGCAGTTTTGCCTTGAAGAATGGACGCTCAAGTTTTCAGTTTTTTTGTCTTATTTCTTGTTTGTTTCACAATAAAAAATATTTTGCATCTTCAAAGTGGTAGGCATGTTGTGTAAATCAAATGATACAAACCCCCCAAAATCCATTTTAATTCCAGGTTGTAAGGCAACAAAATAGGAATAATGCCAAGGGGGGTGAACACTTTCGCAAGCCACTATTGCTTCAAATCCTATTATAACAATTGGATAACTTTAGGTGTTTCAGTAAGCAACTATGTGTTTTCTTCATTAGCAACAGATTGGCGCCGGAGGAGTTGGCTGCCGTTTTACGGGCTCCTAACCAATTGTGCTATTGCGTGTGTGTTTTCGTGTTATTTGTAACTTATTTTGTTTCTGCCACCGTCTCTTATGACCGAAAAGAGCTTCTGGATATCAGGACAGCGATTACTCACCTCGTACTGGACGAAGATTTTTTCTTTAACGAGTCGGACGCAAAGGATTTTCTTCAGACACCCGACAAGGCCCACATTCCGTTATTCGCATGAGAAAGCCTTGTAAGAATCCGACGGCGAGTGGGTAATCTGCTTTTACCATCAGACCTATTAGCCAACATACAATCATTGGATAACAAAATAGGCTAACTACGATCACGGATATCCTAACAACAGGACATTAAAAACTGTAATATCTTATGTTTCACCGAGTCGTAGCTGAACGACGACATGGATAACATACAGCTGGCGGGATATACGCTGCATCGGCAAGATAGAACAGCTGCCTCCGGTAAGACAAAGGGTGGCGGTCTGTGTATATTTGTAAACAACAGCTGGTGCACGAAATCTAATATTAAGGAAGTCTCAAGGTTTTGCTCACCTGAGGTAAAGTATCTCATGATAAGCTGTAGACCACACTATTTACCAAAAGTTTTTATCTATATTTTTTGTAGCTGTCTATTTACCACCACAAACCAATGCTGGCACTAAGACTGCACTCAATGAGCTGTATAAGGCCATAAGCAAACAGGAAAACGCCTCATCCAGAGGTGGCGCTCCTAGTGGCCGGGGACTTTAATGCAGGCAAACTTAAATCCATTTTACCTCATTTCTACCAGCATGTCACATGTGCAACCAGAGGGAAAAAAACTCTAGACCACCTTTACTCCACACACAGAGATGTGTACAAAACTCTCGCTCGCCCTCCATTTGGCAAATCTGACCATAATTCTATCATCCTGATTCCTGCTTACAAGCAAAAACTAAAGCAGGAAGCACCATTGACTCGGTCAATAAAGAAGTGGTCAGATGACGCAGATGCTAAGCTACAGGACTGTTTTGCTAGCACAGACTGTAATATGTTCACCGGCTTCATCAATAAGTGCATTAATGACGTCGTCCCCACAGTGACCATACGTACATATCCCAACCAGAAGCCATGGATTACAGGCAATATCCGCACTGAGCTAAAGGGTAGAGCTGCCGCTTTCAAGGAGCGGGACTCTAACCTGGACGCTTATAAGAGATTCCGCTATGCCCTCAGACCATCAAACCGGCAAAGCGGCAATACAGGACTAAGATTGAATCTTACTACACCGGCCCCGACGGATGTGGCAGGGCTTGCAAACTATTACAGACTACAAAGGGAAGCACAGCCACGAGCTGGCCAGTGACAAGAGCCTACCAGACAACACTGAGGCAAGCAACACTGAAACATGCATGAAAGCATCAGCTGTTCCGGACGACTGTGTGATCACGATCTCGTAGCCGATGTGAGTAAGACCTTTAAACAGGTCAACATTCACAAGGCCGCAGGGCCAGACAGATTACCAGGACGCGTACTCAGAGCATGCGCGGACCAACTGTCAAGTGTCTTCACTGGCATTTTCAACCTCTCCCTGACCGAGTGTAATACCTACATGTTTTAGAATCGCGAATGCGAAGGTAACCTGCCTAAATTACTACTGCCCCGTAGCACTCACTTCGGTAGCCATGAAGTGCTTTGAAAGGCTGGTCATGGCTCACATCAACACCATTATCCCAGAAACCCTAGACCCACTCCAATTTGCATAACGCCTCAACAGATCCACAGATCTATCTTAACTCTATTTCTTGAACTGCATTGTTGGTTAAGGGCTTGTAAGTAAGCATTTCATGGTAAGGTCTACACCTGCTGTATTTGGCGCATGTGACAAATCAAATTTGATTTGATTTGATTAACTTGGTCAAAACATTTATTTATTAAAGACTATCAGAAAGGATGTTGGTACTTATTTATTTTGATCCAAAGCCACGAATGAGTGAGTCACTCAGCTTTATGCTGACAAATATAGCTTTATGCTGCGGAATAGCCTACTAAA